TGGTGTGTGTGTGTGTGTGTGCGGACGCACGAGATCTCCTTCAAATGGGATCTCATCGCGACGCCCCTATTTCCGACGGCGGCAGTGCTCCTGTATAGAGTTCGTGCAATAGCGATCCGTTATGTTTGGACCGAGTCACTGCCGGTGAAACGACAGATAACTTTCTGAGTACAGCAGAAGACGCAAGTCGGAGTTTTAAGTTGTATTAACCCTCGGTACCAAAAAACGTGAATTTTATGGTTAATATCTCCTATGTGTTTAAACCGAGGACCGAGGAAATACTCGAGTATTGTTTTTGATCGAGATATAATAAAGAGCCTAACCTCTGTTTAGATCTGTGACAACGGCGTCGAGGCGCGGCAATTCAAACTGGGAATGAGGAACGTACAAGATAAATTGTGTTTTTAAAAGCCCATTCACGAAATACTGTCTGACAAATGAATGTAATTCATTGAATATATTTGTAGGGGCTGATTTAAAACACGCATTCAGCGGAAAAGTAGAAAGGAAGTTCTGGAATGCCCCAATAACTCTTTATAGGCGCTGGCTGATGTGGTACTCAAACGTCGACTCTTTTCATACTTCAGTATCTCAATATTTCGCATATTGCACGTACTCTATAGTGCATCAGAGAATACACACCTTTGCTGCGTATGATGCGGGTTTCGCATGCGCTCTTCGGGCCGTGTGACGGGCGGAAGGAGTGAGAAACCCGCGACATTCGGGGTGATTTTCGGGCGACCTCCACGTGAAAGTCTCGAACTTGGTTTTACTCGTGTCCCGCTCTTTTTGTCCACCAGAGCGCAGAGCCGCTCTGCTCCCCCGCTCTGTCCTTTCCAGGATAGGCTGCTGGCTCCGCGGCAGCCACGTGCGCCGCCCCTGTGCGAGACGACTCGCTGTCATTGTGCCCTCCCCACCGGTAGTAATTCGAATGGCGTGTTCTAAACTATCTCCTAAAAGCCCTGGCGCTCGGCGGGCGTCATTAACGGGGTGGGCCCGGACAATGAGGGGGGGTGAGGGGGGGAGGGGGTTGGCCGCATTGTTTTAGTTTTCGGCTGCAGAGTCGTGGAGAGAAAGGAAAGGCTTGTGCGCGCGGGGGCCGCGCGGCGCCATTCGGAAGGCCGATCGCCCTCCCCCTACCCCCTCCTGTCCCTGACTCCTTTTCCCGGAACCGCCCCCCGTGTCGCCCGTCGTCCGCGTCGCCTGCCTCCCTCCCCCCCTTTAAGCCACGCCGTTCCGTTGGCCTAAACGGGGTGAAGGGCCGGATGGGAAGGGTTGATCGGGCGCAGGTGTGCGACGCACTGCGGTGCCCCGCCCGGGGGACCGGGGCCGTGCCGTGGGGTCCAGGGGCGGCCGGGCGGACCGACGGACCGACGGGCCGACCGGCCGACGGGCGGACCGAGGGAAGGGAAGGGAAAATACGGATGTGCTGCGGCTGGCCTGGTTGCGGCTTTGCGGCGGCCAGCGGTGGTCACTTGGATTGGATTAGCGAGGGCCTTCTCTTCATCCACCTCCTCCGCATCCTTGCCCCCACCCTCTCTCTCCCTCTCTCTCCCTCTCTCTCCCTCTCTCTCCCTCTCTCTCCCTCTCTCTCTCTTTCTTTCTCTCCCTCTCTCCCTCTCTCTCCCTCTCTCTCCCTCTCTCTCCGACCCTCACGGCCTTGCGTCCCCTCGCACGCTCCCTCTCCGTCTGACCAAGCCCGTTAAGGCCGCTACCCCTTCAGCCCATTCTCTCGGTATTCCTCTAACTTCTCGCCCGCTCCACTAACACGCTCCCGGCCTCTCCCTTCCCCCCTCTCCAGCCCCCCCC